CATGTGACTAGAAGATCATACTGAAATTCCAAACAGTAAATAAGGTCCTTGACATAATGTTTCCTGGAGCCGCAGCTGCTGATGTTGATGTTACAACCAGGAAGACCATGGTACAGTTGCTGGACTCGTTGCACACTGGCTGGCTCATGATTGGTTGTTTTATTACTCTAGCCAGTTAAACTAATAAAAGCAGGCAAACAAAAATGCAAGCATTTGGGATTTGCATATTCCTTCTTGCAGATTATTGCAGAACAGTCAGGGTAAAACCAAAAACACAAAGTAGTGTTTCACACAGTGCACAATTCACTGCCACAAGATGGGGTGATCTGCCACTAGCTCAGGTCATTTTTTAAAAGGGAAGAGAGGAGTTAATGAAGTTTGCAGGGTTTTTTTCTTTATGATAGTTAAGAGGAATTTGAGTTTCCATGCCTTTAAATGTTGCAGACACACAATAAGGAAAGTATATTTGGCTATTGCTTCATGTGCAGTTCATAGAAGGTATACATAGGAGTAGCAGAAGAACAAGAATTTCTTTTCTATAGGCCTAACAGCATAAGGAGGTCTTAATTCTTTAAAAAAAAAAAAAAAAAACTAGGAAAGAATTTGCAGCCAAGCTCTCACAGGGAAGAGTGTTTTGAAACCACTGAAAATGGGCCTTTTGGATGCCATCTTTTTTAAAAAAAATAATATTTATTAGTAGTTTCAAAGTTATAAAGAAAAAAGAAAAATTAAAAAACAACACTATAATACATAGAGGAAAAAAAGAAAAACACAAAAACCAATACAACAATACAACAAAAAGATAAAAAGAAAAAAGAAAAAAGAAAACAAAAACAACACAAATCCCAAATTACATATCTATGTCTTCCATTTGCTTGTTTCATTGACCTCCTCACACCTCCCTTTTTGTATTCTAGTTTAATTAGTTATTTCAGCAAATTCTTTCCATCTTTCTCAATTTTTGTTAAAAAGTTTATCTTGACAGTTTAACTTAATAATTAACTAGCAAATCCTTTCCGTCTTTCCCCATATTCTGTTATTCAAATTACCTTAATTTATTTAATCTTATCTTACCCTAAAATACCTTAAAGCTTGAATCTTAGTTTTCAAATATACATAACTCCTGATATCATTTCTGCTAGAGTCATATAGTTTCATTCCAACATTTTCCCTAATATTCATTAATTTTAAGCTAATTCCCTAAATAGATAGTTTTCTTTATAAATTTTCTTCCAATCTTCATCCAACGTCTCCTCTTCCTGGTCTCGGATCGTGTCAGTCCTTACTGTCCAATCCATCTAGTCCATCAACCTGGAAGCCTTATGTCCGAGGCTCTTAAGTCTCTTCCATGTCCCTTCTGCATTTCTTCTTGTTGTTGTTTATACTTGCCTTTTTCCTTGTCTTTTGTTGGTCTCTTTCTTAATTCCTTTCCTTTCTCATTGAGGAGTAGTTCTCTGGGGGATTCCAACCCAGAATTGTCTCCATCTCCCTTCATCAAACCCACCCATTCCCCAAAGTCCCACTCCCCACAGTCCTCGATAAAATCCAAAAAGTATTTAAAAGCATATTTCAAGGTCTCTCCAAAGTTAGGAACCTCCTCAGCACCAGACTCCCCCTGGCCCATTCCAACTTCAGTCTTCAGTGACAGCGGCTTATGCTCCTGTAGGGCCTCGGGTCTCTCCATTTGTATTATTTGAGGTGCAACCGCATCCTCCTCCATTATCTTCTGTACTTGCCCAGTCAGTACAGATTCATGAGTTGGTCCCTGAATAATTTCTGTATCAATGTTCCCTGCCTGTCCACAGTCATTAACCACAACAGTCAAATCCATTTTTTCATTCATCAAGTCCATCTTCTCATGCATCTGCTCCAACAGGGCACTTGTCTTGCATAAGGCAAGCACCCAATCTTCCTCCCAGCTCATCTTTAGTGAAGGTCAGAAAAGACTGTTCCCACGATCTTAATCTCACAGCTGTTGAGTCCTCAAGTATACTGCTGCAACAATTTAACAAGCTCCCTCTAGAGGAGGCAATTTCTATTTGTATCCAATTTTTTTTTTAGGCAAGTCCAACAAAGGAGATAATTACTTTCATTTTTCAGATATTTTTCGGATATTTTGTTTCTTTAAGATGCAAAAGGCAACACTGGAATCAGCTTGTTTCTCTTCTTTAACTATCTGTCAAAATATTCCATTCACAGTCAATGAACCTCTCCAACAATTTCTGTCACTGACACCCCGTTCCCAGGTTAGAGACGGTGGAAACTTATCCTTCTTCACTCCCTCTCCTGCAGGGGTTAAACAAAGTTCCCCCCCTTTTCTCCTGCTTCCAAGGGGGTTTCAGTAATTCTGAATGAAGCAAATTTAGACTTTTTTGGCAGCTTTCCAGGCCTTAGCTTACGAAGTTTTTGCTTTAGTCTATATACAAAAAGCGGAAGGCGGACTTCCTGTTTTGAACCTTCCCGCTTCGATGCCAAATTAAAATATTTCTTGATCCAATTTTCCGTTTCTACTCACGGGTACTTGTTTTAAATCCAATTGTCCACAGGAAAAAGTCAGCGCTCTCCGGCAATGGCTGTGCGGCTTCACTCCGTGAAAGTAGCAATCAGTTCGCAGCACCGTGCAGCTCACCCTGCTTCGATCCGGCGCCCCGAAAAGGGGTTCCCGGTGAGTGGGGGGCGCTTCTGGTGCCCTGCCGAACCCCACGTTCCCAGGCTTCCTCCGCCTGGGATTTCTAGCGGGTCCCCACCTTCGCCACAGCGGGAAGACCCAGTTTCCACGGAGCCCATTCCTCCAGTCGGAGGAACTCCGCCATTCACCGATGGCGCTGACCCGGAAGTCCTGGATGCCATCTTTACCTCAGTTACAGAAGGCACCCAGCGCAAGGCCCTATCAGACAACTGTGATGCCCAAGGGAATTTATCAGATGCTCTCTATAAGGTGTCCATATCCAAACAGTAAACTTGAATTTAACATCTTGAATTTAGCTTGTAGTCTGGTGTGGTCTCCACAATACTAGCATACTATCCTCCATCCAGCAACAATTAGGAACCATGAAGGCAAATTACCAATATACCCATCGAAGTTTCTGAAGTGAGCTCAAGGGTAGCCTCGTGTACAGCAGTCTACAATAATCTAATCAGAAAGTAACCAGTGCTTGCGTGCTCTTGTACTCGCATAAGAGGTTTCACTAATGAATCAGCTGAGCAGGCGGCCGGGTGGGTGGGTGACAGATGCTATCTGGGTATCTTAGTGCATGATGGATCAAGGAGGCCCAACATCCTATCTGGTTCTTAAGACATAATGGGGTCTCAGGCGGAATACCCACCACCTGGCTCCCTACCATCAGCAGCTGCATGTTACTTGGGCCAAGCATGTATTCCTTTTCTTCTAGTCCTGCATGATTTCAGGTACCTCTTAAGGGAATCAACTGTCTTATCTGGAGAGCGGAGCCCTGACAGCTCCGTGTAAGTCAAATGGATGAATTTGAGTTATATAGCAGGCAGTCCAAGCGACAAGGGTCACTCGTCAATCCTGAAAGGAAGGAAACTTAGCAAGTCGTCTAAATATTTATTGAACGCATTTCAACAAAAGTACACCAGGCTGCTTGTACAAATTTAACACAGTGCTAGTTAAAACAATCCAGAAAAAGATTGTTTTCCCTCTTTCCTCCTCCACGTGGCTAGGCTTGGGTGGTGCGAGCACCCAGAGAGGGCTGGAGCTTTCCCAAGAAGTGTGTGCAACATTAAGATGCAAGCCAGCCCTCTCCAAACTCCCCATCTCTGATGAATATAATTGAGTCCCGAGAATATCCTAGTTCAAAATAAATAACTCTTCCTATTCTGTCCATGCAGGTGCATTTCTGCCAATGCTCTTGAATCTTTCGCAGACAGTTGTACCTACTGCTCTCTATACAACTGTCAGTTTCCACCTCCCGTGGGGATTCAAGGTGTGGAGGGGTGAGGCCAAAGCCGAAAACAGATTTTCATCTTATTCACAACCGATTTGCTTTTGAAACAACAAAGGAGTGTTCTAAAATTAAACGGCATTGACACAGGGCTCCCTCAGCTACAGGAGTGATGGGCTCTGTCAGATTTGTTTAGGGCTCTCCTGCTAACCCTTGGCATTCTGCTAACTTCTATTTTATCTTGCAGATATTTCAAGCCGTGCTTTCCTAATTGAATTCCTTGTCCTGCCTCTTGATTCGTGATGCCTCAGTCCTTTGAAAAATGCCTCAAAAATATGCCCCGCTAAGCTCTTAAAAAAGCTTATTCCAGACTGAGCATCTTTGATAGTGTTGAAGTGAGGCACACTGTTTGTTTGGCACCTTTAGGTAAGAAGGCCAAGTTATTGTCAGCAGCAAAAGGTATATCTAAATCTTTAGGAATATGTGAGCTGTATCCAGAGAAGGTGTCCACCTGTGCAATGAGACTTCCTCTCCCTTTCTTCTCCCCCCACAACCCCACAAATATTCTCTGAAGAGTTGAGGGGACCCCAAAAACAGATTTCAAGGAAATCCCATTGCATTAATATGGGACAACTTGATCTTTTTAAACAGCAGCAGCAAGGAAAACCAACGTTTATATTAAGGAAGAGGAGAAAAGAAGCGGGTAGATCTAGTGTATCTTTGATTTAAAGTACAGGCTTCCTTCCACTTACGTGCAATGGATGTGCACGCAACCGTGTATACTTGTGGTGCTGGGAAATAAATAAACAATTCAATTCAAACCCGGAAATGGCGGGAAAGAAATGGAGATTCCTTGTGACTCATGAGGAGACCCTCCCCAGAGCCTGAAAAAGATGTTGGTGAGGGCAGAGGAAGCCCAGAAGTGACCGGAGGCACAGTGGGGCTGTGTTTACGCTGCTGAGCCTCCCCGCTTAACAGCTGATGTGTGGGGTAGCGCAGCAGCAGCTGCTGCTGCTTTCCTTCGTGTCCTCCACCCTCTTGCCAGCCCCCGAGCTTCAGTTATAGTTGTGGATATTTTTGGATACGGTATTTTTTGTATGGGTTGAAAAAAGAGCAGCAGACAGGGTTTTAGAGGGTGCTCCTCACTTTATGTGATTTCACTTATGTAACCCCTGTGTAAGTGGGGTGGAGGCTGTACCATAAGATGCAATAACACCCACACACTCACATTGATTCAGCAGATGCAACAAGAGTATGCCTATGGTACCCATCCCTATATTGAAATCAGTGGGGAGAAATCAGTGTGGGGTGGGTGGAGCCATAGTGTGTGCTGGAGTTCTGTGTCCATCTCAGGCCTCAGCATGCCTGTCTGTGTGGGGCTGGACTGGGGTGTGTGAATCTTGCTTTCATGTTCCATTGCTCATCCAGATCTCTTCCCTTATCCTCAACCTGCACAGGTGTTACCAAAAGGACAAATTAATATATAGCTGCTAAAATAAACAACACCACTGGCATTTCCCCTCTTCTATGTAATCCATTATGTCCATGTTCCACGTCAACACAAGCGGCCTTCTGCATTGGGGTTCATTTGTCACCTTCCGTTTTGAGTATGGGCCAGCTGCCATTTCTTGCCAAATGGATGCGATTATGACGGCATTTTTGTTCTCTGAGCCCTAGAAATATTACAGATAGGGGTTTTGAATCTACGCACCAGCAACACACATGAGTAGAACTATGACATTTCATTAATTCATTTTTCTCTGCTCCCTCATCCTGTGAGTGAAAAGTGCGCAGAGAAAGGAGGGTTAGGGGAGGAGAGATTGTTTTTAAATGAGACAAGGGTAAGGAAGAGAGGTGTGTAATCTTGACAATCAGAAAGAAAAGTGGTACACTGCGAGACTAGAAGCAGAAGGTGCACGTTGGGAGTTTAATTAAAGTGTGATTAGGGGAGCTATTTAAGGTTTGTGAAGCAATGTGAATGATATGCACGGATATTCGGAGGTGGAACCAAAAAGAAGGCTGCCAGAAACTATGTCAAAATGTGTGGGTGTGGGTTGGGTGTGGGTTTTAATAAAAGAATTCAGGTTTTCAGATATCATTAAGATACCTTCTTAATAGAAATTCCATACACAACCACCCCATTCTTTTGGGAGAGTTTAGCTATAGTGGCTTATATGGTACCTCATCCAGTGACAAGCCATGTAGTGGTCAAGTAGGGACTTAAGATGCTAGTTAGCTAATTGAAATATTCCTAAACTGTTCAAAAATTGCTTTTCAAACCATCAAACCACTAGAACAGACCAATTCAAATCAAAAGGTTGCAAAACTGGTACGGAAAGTATCATAGCAACAACATCCATTGTACCTCCAACCTGTCCTTGCAGTGCTGACTTTGGTGTGGGCCTCAGACAGAGCTTCAACTTGCTTGTACAGTGGTACCTTGGTTTACGAACTTAATCCATTCCGGAAGTCCATTTTTAAACCAAAGCGTTCTTAAACCAAGGTGTGCTTTCCCATAGCAGCGGGGGACTCAATTTACAAATGGAACACATTCAACAGGAAGTGAAACATGTTCTTATTCCAAGGCAAAGTTCACAAACCAAAACACCTACTTCTGGGTTTGCAGTGTTCTTAATCCAAGTTGTTCATAAACTAAGCTGTTCTTAAACCAAAGTTCCACTGTAATTCTTTAACTTGGGGGGGGCAGGGAGATGCTGAACCATCTCCTAATTTTTCCAATTCTCACTCACGTCTTCCTTTCCAGACAAGATTAAAGGAATTCCCCTCCTCCACCCTTCCTTCTGAAGTCCCTGCCATTTCCTACTGGTTAGTTTAAAGTGAAACCAATGAAGAGCCAAAACTTTCTCAGGCAGAGTCATTGGTGAGGGAGAGCAAGACGGAGGGGCCTAGTTCACACGTAACGCTAAGCTAAGCCCAGTAGCAGACAATGTGGTGGGTGGTGACACTCACTCAACCTCTGGTCGGTTGCCTCACTGCTGCTTAAGGGAAGGGGGAGTGGCAGGGTGGTGGCAAGGTGCAAACACACTGGTTGGTGCACTGAATGGGCTCCACTAGTGTGCTTGCACCATCAACCTCGGCCCACCTCCTCTATGTCCCTGAAAGCAGCAGGTATGCAACTGAGCATCATCACCCCACACTTACCACTTACTGGCTAAGTGTGAGTGTGTGGGTATCCACAGCAGAAACTGGTTCAAATGTAACCATAGATTATTCCAACCCAATTTTGCTAAACCAAATTACATACCATGTTCTTTAACGATGCTCCTTCTCCTGACCACTGGGATTCTGTGTCTTTTGACATTTCTCTGGCTTCATCCACTGGTGCATTTAGACACTTGATTTATTTATTTTTTTAAAAATTGCTTCTTCATTTTGGCATTTTTAAAAATGCTGTTGCCCTGAACATACTCTTTTTCTCTCTCACCTCATTGCAAGTCTTGCCTTGTGTGTCTTGCTTCAGATTCTAAGTGTGAGGGCATACTGTCTTATGCCTCTTTTATGCAAAGCGCCTGGTCTTTGTAGGTGCTCTAGAAAGTATAAATAGTGATGATCTTATTGCAGGAAGCATTCACATATTAACACACACTTTACCATTTGAAAATTTGAACAAATCCTCCTACTGTCTCATTACATTTGCCTGATTTTTATTAGCCAAAGATGTATTGATAGTGCTGCCTTTGCTTTCGACATTTAACAAAGACTAATGTGTCTGCCAATAAATGAGTAACAATGGTGTCTTAATTGCAATAAGAAAACTGCCTCAATTGAATTTGGGATGCCCTGGAAGTTCTTTGGCCCCTTGAGATCTATGTAAAGTGGGAGATGATGCTGTGGTTAAAGCATTAAACAGTAAGGGGTATCGCTTTTTCTTAGAATCCTAAAGTCCACTTGAAGCTAGTGGCATTCAGTTATGTGAGTAAAATGCTTGTGCCTTTTTTCCTTAATTGGGTCTTTGGTTGCTCCTTCTAGCCTCCGGGGTGCACCAGCGGCCATCCATTTGTTTCTCCTTTTTTAGCATTTCAACAACTTCAAGAAAAAGAAGCAAAGCAGAGGGAACTGTGCGGCAACTAAGCTCAAAGCAAGTAAAATTTAAAGCATCATATACTGAGCTAATGGGAAAAGGGTACCTCCTTCATTCCTCTTTCTTTACACTTGCGAAAAAGAGCCCACTTCTCTTCCGCTGGCTGGATTTATAGCTTTAATAATGCTGCGTTTCCCAATTGCTATTTTTTTGTGTTTTTCTACCCTTTGTAAAGTTGCCGAACAAATTAAAACATAAATCATTACCTTTAATACATTTTGTAATGTTAAGCTTTTGATCAATTGTTTTTGTAGCAGCTATGGCTTAATCTGGCAACAGAAGATGCAGTCTGAAAACCTCCTTGGTAGCATTTCATGTTACAGGTAGTCCATTCTTTCAATTCCCTGAACGTTCTCTTTGGCGTATTTATGAAAACACAATTTTGGTAGAATTCTTTAGCTGGAAGAGTAACTTTGAACACTCTTCTTGTTTTTCACTCTGAAATGTAAAAAGAGGAAGGGAAGCAGATCATTAGTGAAGGTGTGTATCCATTTTCTGAAATCCACAGTCAGGCAATAACTTTAGAATCCTAGAATTGTAGAGTTGGAAGGGACCCAAAGGGTCTAGTCCAATCCCCATGCAGGAATCTCAGCTAAAGCATCTGTGACAGATCGCCATCCAGCCTCTGCTTAAAACCCTCCAATTAAGGAGAGTCCACAGCCTCCTAAGGGAAACCGTTCCAATGTCAAACAGCTCTTACTATCAGAAAGTTCTTCCTGATGTTTAATCATAATCTTCTTTCTTGTAACTTGAAGCCATTGGGTTGAGTCTCACCATCCAGAACAGGAGAAAACAAGCTTCCTCCATCTTCCATATGACAGCCCTTGAGATACTTGAGGATGGCTGTCATATCTCTTCTTAGTCGCCTCTTTTCCAGGCTAAACATATCCAGCTCCTTCAACCATCCCTTGTACGGCTTTTTTCCACTTCTTGCTCATTTTGGTTGCCCTCCTGTGCACACATTCCAGCTTTTCAACATTTTTCTTCCATTGTGGTGCCCAGAATTGGACACAGTACTCCAGGTGTGATCTGACCAAGGCAGAATAGAGGACTATTACTTCTCTTGATTGGGACACTATACTTCTGTTGATGCAGCCTAGAATAGCATTAGTTCTTTTTTGCTTCTGCATCACACTGATGACTCATGTTAAAGGTTGTGGTTTAATAAGACCCCTACATCCTTTTCACATGTACTGCTAGTAGGCCAGTGTCCCCCATCATATTTGTGGAGCTGGTTCTTCCTGTCTAAATGAAGAACCTTACATTTGTCCCAATTGAAATCCATTTTGTTAGTTTGGGCCCAGCTCTCCAATCTGTTAAGGTCCAAATCCTGATTCTGTGTTCTGAGGCATTAGCTCCCCCTCCCAGTTTGGTGTCATCTGCAAATTGGATGAGCTTTCCCTCAATTCCTTCATCCAAGGTGTTTATACAGATGTTGAACAACAATGGGCCCAGATTACTCTTTTGATTTGGTCAGTCAATGAAATATACTCGGGAGTCCTGTAGTGATTTCATTCTCTTTATTGCAGCTTGTAAAACAGTGATTGAATTGCCCCCCAAACCTCAGGCTTTTATATACATTATTTACACGATGAGTCCCGTCTGATTGGCTGATTCTGCTTCCCTCCTGGAGCTTGATTGGTCTTTTCCTGCAGGCCAATCAGTTGTTGCATTCTACGATCCTACAAGCCTAATAGGCTGATTAACTTCTTCCTGGAGCCTGATTGGTTTTCTCTTGCAAGCCAATCAGTTGTTGCATTCTGGGATCCTACTTGCCTGTTGTTCTAGGATCCAAGGTTAGTAAATAACAGTCAACTAGCTACAAATGCACCTAACAGTTACCTCGTTCAACCCACAAGAATATCATGGGGGACTTTGTCAAAAGCTTGACTGAAATCAAGATAGACCATGTCCACAGCATTCCCCTGATCCACCAAGCTTGTAACTCCATCAAAAAAAGAAATGAGACCTATCTGGTATGACTTATTTTTGAGAAACCCATGATGGGTCTTAGTAATCACAGCATCCTTTTCTAAGTGCTCCCAGACTGACTGTTGAATAACCAACATTTCTCGAAATAAGCCCTCTTGAGTCATTACAAGCCCCATGTTGCTCTGCAGAATTGCTCCCATGCAATGGGATCTGCATGTATAGCATAGGTGTCTGTAGAGCATGCTCCAGGGTTCCATTGGTCAGGAATATGTGTGATCATCAGGAAATGCAGCTCCAATTTAGAACAACACAGAAGCTATTATGACTGAAGAAAGCCAGTGAGAGCAAACCTTTGAGTTCTCCAGGGTTCTTCAGTAGTCTAGAAGTTCAACGAAACAAGGGGCTAGGAGAAACAAAACTCGTTTGAAATTGAAGCCACAGTCTGCATTTTGTTACAGTTTTAAGATGGTGTGTTGGAGGAGATAAGAGACTTACTTAGATTAAGGTCTATTATGTGCAATGCAGTTTTAAAGTTGCAGCCAGGATTGCTGGGACAAATAAATATTTAGTGGTCGATTCCCCCACTTTTGAAGATATACAATTCAGCTGTTCCCTCAAACTGTCTCCAGCCTTAGGCAAAAACACACTGGTCCTCAGAAGGTGTAAACCAGAAATAAAAAGAAATTAGGCATGTTTTGTATCTCCAGGTGGTAGGACCTCATCTTCCTCCATTTTTAGGATCCTGCTCCTGATCAACTATCTGATAGTTTTTAACTTTTTAAATTGTGCTTGGTAATGAAATAGCATGGATAAGGAAAAAGTAACAAGGAGCCCTGTTCCAGCTGCTGGTGCAACCCCACTATTTATCATGTTATGAAAAAGAAGCTGCCTTTATGTGGCATCCTCTTTACCAATGTGTTCATAGGATTGGGCCATTACAGTGTTTTTACTTACTCAGGCAAGTTGGACATTGATAAACTTACAAAGTCTAATCTGACTCACTCTGGTTGTTCTTGGCTTTCTTATCAATAATCCCCACATTTGGTTGTATTATCTACTCCTGACTATCAAAACAATTTTTGCCCATTAAGACCTAATGCTTATCTCTCCAGGACTCTTCTGCAGCAATTTCCTTTTGCTGTCAGTCTTTGTCTTCTGTAAATATCGTATGATCTTAAATTTAATTAAATTAATAAAAATTAGGACAAGAACCAAAGAGTGGGATTCAACACTGTGCTATTGCGAACATTCCATCTGTGCAAGTACGGTATATCTGCTTGCCAGACAGAACAACACCCTGCCTTGCCGCCTCCTCCACGCTGTTGTGGGGGGTTCTCCTGACACCCCCTAAGCCAATTTTGGGGGTGGGAGGCATAAGGGAAGAAAGCAGGGAAGACTCCTTGCACAGATCGAAGCCCTTCCACAGAGCTTTCACTGGCAGGGATAATTAGGTATACCCCGCCCTAAGAATAGAAAGGGAAAACAAAGAAGACAATAGTTTTTGACATTTGCCTCTTCAGTCATGCATTTTATCCAAATTGCTTTTTCTAATGAAACATCTGCTCAATAAACATTGTCAAAAGTTGAACTTCTGCACTTTTGCTTAGTATAATAATGTTTAAAAGGTAAATTAAGAGAAGCTGCTTGATTTTAGAGTGAGGACTAAAGCTTGTCTCCAACCGCACACCGTGTGAGATTTTTTTCTTGTTTGATCAATGGTAGAAGCATGCCACGCAGAAATAATTTCTACGTTTTTGATCTTCAGGTTGTACTTTCCTGTATTAAATGTATTTTCTGTTTGCTGAAGACGCTTTTGTGCCTTGAAATTCTAAGCACAATTAAAGTAAGTGAAAAATAGCAGACAGACTACCTTGTCTTCTGTATTGCTTTTTAACACCAATCCCCGTCATTCAAATACACAGCGGTACAAGCCAGCTGGTAGAACGTAATTATGTTCAATTTGTGTAACTCAATTATTAAAGATCAATTTAAAGTGTGCGTTGCAGTGCCCTATCCAGTTGTGCTGCTTGCTCAAAGGATGGTAGTGTGAAACATACATTTTAAAAAATGCCTCTGACAAAATTTAATCAATGCATTGTTATTCCCTCCTTTTTTGCTGTTTTTCTCCCTCCCTCCCTCCCTCCCAATATATTGTGGAATCCTGTGCACTCGTTCCTGGGAGTAAGCCTTATTGAACACAGTGTAACTTACTTCTGAGTAAACATGTACACACTTGCTCTGCTAATACGCAACTGGCCATTTCAATGTTTCTTATATCCTCATTCCTGTTGCCTGTATGGATGTCCACATACAGTTCTGCAAATTGTGAAGTCATTGCAAATTACTTTCCAGATTTTGTAAGTTGCAAACACAGATGGGCAGTGAGAAATTAGAGTGCATCACACAGAGAAGCTGTAAGATTACAAGTCAGAGATCAAATTTAGTCTTGCCACAGAGAGGACTATATTATACCGTTGAGTCACAAAAGGCACAGCTAGACTACATGAATTATTGGAAACTGCTAGTAAGTGAAGGAGCAAGGGGAACAGTGAACACCAGCAGTCTTTGCTATCACTGAGTCAGTTTTGATATATTTCTGGTAACCCTTGTAAGAAATTCATAAGGGAAATTCAGAGCAATAAGAAATGCCCACAAATGTATGTGTCTCTCTTGGGTGTGTCACTTAACTTAATGGAACTTACCTTTGAATGTAGTATCAGGACCACAACAGAAGCCAAAGAGTTAAAAAAAATTCCCACATTCCATGCCACAGTAGTTACCATAATGTGCGTATCTTGGGATGTGGATGATGTCCACCATTACTACACATGAAGTACTGATACTCTTATTTTGTAGTTCTGAACCAGTCAATATACAGTCTTACTTTGGATCCCAAACACCTTGGTACTCATACGTTTTGGCTCCTGAATGCTGTAAGCCCGTGAGTGCGTGTTCCAGTTTGCAAATGTTCTTTGGAACCCGAACGTCTGAGCTTCCTGCAGCCAATCAGAAGCCGCACTTTGGTTCCCGAACATTTTGGAAGTCGAATAGACTTCCAGAACGAATTCCATTCTACTTCCAAGGTACAACTCTAACCAGCTGCTCAGTTGGTTAGAGCGTGGTGCTGATAATGCCAAGGTTGCAGGTTCGATCCCCATATGGGACAGCTACATATTCCTAGAATCATAGAATCATAGAATCATAGAGTTGGAAGAGACCACAAGGGCCATCGAGTCCAACCCCCTGCCAAGCAGGAAACACCATCAGAGCACTCCTGACATATGGTTGTCAAGCCTCTGCTTAAAGACCTCCAAAGAAGGAGACTCCACCACACTCCTTGGCAGCAAATTCCACTGTCAAACAGCTCTTACTGTCAGGAAGTTCTTCCTAATGTTTAGGTGGAATCTTCTTTCTTGTAGTTTGGATCCATTGCTCCGTGTCCGCTTCTCTGGAGCAGCAGAAAACAACCTTTCTCCCTCCTCTATGTGACATCCTTTTATATATTTGAACATGGCTATCATATCACCCCTTAACCTCCTCTTCTCCAGGCTAAACATGCCCAGCTCCCTTAGCCGTTCCTCATAAGGCATCGTTTCCAGGCCTTTGACCATTTTGGTTGCCCTCCTCTGGACACGTTCCAGCTTGTCAGTGTCCTTCTTGAACTGTGGTGCCCAGAACTGGACACAGTACTCCAGGTGAGGTCTGACCAGAGCGGAATACAGTGGCACTATTACTTCCCTTGATCTAGATACTATACTCCTATTGATGCAGCCCAGAATTGCATTGGCTTTTTTAGCTGCTGCGTCACACTGTTGGCTCATGTCAAGTTTGTGGTCAACCAAGACTCCTAGATCCATTTTCACATGTACTGCTCTCAAGCCAGGTGTCACCCATCTTGTATTTGTGCCTCTCATTTTTTTGCCCAAGTGCAATACTTTACATTTCTCCCTGTTAAAATTCATCTTGTTTGTTTTGGCCCAGTTCTCTAATCTGTCAAGGTCGTTTTGAAGTGTGATCCTGTCCTCTGGGGTGTTAGCCACCCCTCCCAGTTTGGTGTCATCTGCAAATTTGATCAGGATGCCCTTGAGTCCATCATCCAAGTCGTTGATAAAGATGTTGAATAAGACCGGGCCCAAGACAGAACCCTGTGGCACCCCACTAGTCACTCTTCTCCAGGATGAAGAGGAACCATTGATGAGCACCCTTTGGGTTCGGTCAGTCAGCCAGTTACAAATCCACTGAGTGGTAGCATAGTCAAGACCGCATTTTACCAGCTTCTTTACAAGAATATCATGGGGCACCTTGTCAAATGCCTTGCTGAAATCAAGGTAGGCTACATCCACTGCGTTCCCTTCATCTACCAGGCTTGTAATTCTGTCAAAAAACGAGATCAGGTTAGTCTGACATGACTTATTTTTCAGAAATGCATGCTGACTATTGGTGATCACAGCATTCCTTTCTAGGTGCTCACAGACTGTTTGCTTAATGATCTGCTCCAGAATCTTCCCTGGTATTGATGTCAGACTGACTGGGCGGTAATTATTTGGGTCCTCTCTTTCCCCTTTTTGAAAATAGGGACAACATTTGCCCTCCTCCAGTCTGCCGGGACTTCGCCTGTTCTCCAGGAATTCTCAAAGATGACTGCCAGTGGTTCTGAGATCACATCTGCCAGTTCTTTTAATACTCTTGGATGCAGTTCATCTGGCCCTGGAGACTTGAATACATCTAAACTAGCCAAGTATTATTGTACTATCTCCTTAGTTATTCTGGGCTGTGTTCCTCTGCTGAATCATTTGCTCCAAATTCTTCAGGTCGGGCATTGTTTTCTTTATCGGAGAAGACTGAGGCAAAGAAGGCATTGAGGAGTTCAGTCCTTTCTGTGTCCCCTGTTTGCATTTCACCATCTTCTCCTCTCAGTGACCCCACTGTTTCTTTGTTCTTCCTTTTGCTACGAACATACCCATAAAAGCCTTTTTGTTGCTTTTAACCTCTCTGGCAAGCCTGAGTTCATTCTGTGCTTTAGCTTTTCTGACTGTGTGTCTACACGTGCTGGCTATTTGTTTGAATTCCTCTTTGGTGGTTTCCCCCTTTTCCATTTTTGTACACATCCTTTTTAATCTTAACTCAGTTAAAAGTTCTTTAGATAGCCACCCTGGCTTCTTTAGGCACCTTCCATGTTTCCATCTCATTGGTATTGCCTGACGTTGTGCTTTTAGTATCTCCCTCTTAACAAACTCCCAGCCATCATGAACTCCCTTTCCTTTTAGTATTACTGTCCATGGGATCTCACCCAGCACTTCCCTAACTTTTATGAAGTCGGCTTTCTTAAAGTCAAGAAATATGCTTGGCTGCTCCTTTCCGCTGTATAGTAAACTTCAGAAGAGCATGATCACTCGTGCCTAATGATCCTTCCACTTCTACCCCACTAACCAGGTCATCAACATTGGTTAGGACCAGATCTAAAATGGCTGTTCCTCTTGTTGCTTCTCCCACTTTCTGGACAATGAAGTTGTCTGCAAGGCCAGTGAGGAATCTGTTTGACCTTATGCTCTTGGCTGAGTTTGACATCCAACAAATATCCGGGTAATTGAAGTCCCCCATTACTACTATCTCCCTTCCTTTTGCATGCTTGGCCATCTGTTCCAGGAAGGCATCATCTATGTCCTCCGTTTGGCTTGGGGATCTATAGTAAACTCCCACAATGAAGTCACTGTTATTCTTCTCTCCCTTAATTTTGACCCAAATGCTCTCACTTTGGCTTTGAGGTTCTAAATCTTGGATCTCTTCACAGGTATACACATCCCTGACATATAACGCCACTCCTCCTCCTTTCTTGTCTGGTCTGTTTCTCTGAAATAGATTGTATCCCTCCATTATTACATTCCAATCATGGGACTTATCCCACCAGGTTTCAGTGATGCCTATTATGTCATATTTAGTTTGCTGTACCAAGAGCTCAAGCTCATCTTGTTTATTTCCCATGCTTTGCGCATTAGTGTACAGACATTGAAGTCCATTAATCATTCCCCCGTGTCTCTTATTTAAGGATTTTTTTCTTCCCACCACTAGGTCTGCATGCTGTTTGCTCCATTTGGTCTATGACATTTGGATGATCATCTTCATCAATTGATAGACTCCTACCTTCAGGAGCACTGTCTCCCTCTCCCACATTAGTCAGTTTAAAGCCCTCCTGATGAGGTTTCTGAGATTTTTGGCAAAAACATTCCTCCTAACCGTTGTGAGGTGCAGCCCATCGCTTGCCAGAAGTCCATCTTCAAGAAACTGCAGTCCGTGATCTAAGAATCCAAACCGTTCCTGCTTACACCATTTGCGAAGCCAGCTGTTCACTTCCACTATTTTCCCTCTCTCCCTGGGCCACGTCGTTCAACTGGGAGGACAGATGAGATGACAATTTGTGCATTTAATTGCTTCAATTTCCTGCCCAGAGCCTCGTAGTCTCTTTTGATCTTCTGGAGGCTATTGCTTGCAGTGTCATTGGTTCCCACATGAACCAAGAGGAAGGGGTATTTGTCAGTGGGTTTTATGATTCCTTGCAGTCGTTCAGTTACATCTTGGATCTTAGCCCCGGGAGACAGCACACTTCCCGAGACATCTTGTCAGGCCCACAGATCACTGCTTCTGTTCCCCTCAGTAGGGAATCCCCTATCACCACTACACGCCTCCTCTTAGGTTTGGTCGGGGTTCTTCCGTGAGCTGTCCGTTCCAAGGTTGCCTGCACATTCCCTGAGGACTGACTTTGCTGCTCGTCTTCATATACCTGATCGACTGTAATGAGGAGAGATCCTCAAATGGAGTCTGCTCTTCGTCTTCCATGCTAGGGGAGAGGACCTCAAAGCGATTGTGTATTTCTAAACAATCAGAGCAAACCCTGGGCCTCCTACTTCTTTGAGTCACGTTTCTCCATATATCTGGCTCCTGTGTTGGTGTACTAGCCTCCTTCTCAGGGGAGTCCCCTGTCTCCTCCTTGGTGGAGACGGTGTGCTCTGTTGTTTCCAAGAAGAGCTCCAGCTCTCTAATTCTTTGGAGCGTAGCTACACGTTCCTCCAGTTGCTGGACTTTATCTTTTAAGAAGGCAATCAACATGCAATTGCTGCAGGTAAAGCTGCCTGCAACCTTTGGCAAGATGGCAAACATTGCGCAGGAACCGCAGGCGACTGCAGCTGTTCCCTCCCCCTCCATCTTGAGAACGTGTCGTTGGGGGTGGCTACAGCGGTCCTCCATCATAAAAAGCGTGAAGACAGGACAAATAACTCTCCCCACAAAAAAACCTAGGTCTCCCCCAACAAACGTTTGAGACTAGCTCCCCTAAATCTAAAATTTAGATTTGCAGGGGGTTGGACTAGGTGATCCTTAGGGTCCCTTCCAAGAGTTGTACTCTTCTGTGAATGTCAAGCCATTGATTTTTAAAGGCTTTCACCTCAAAGGGAAGCTAGCCTGGTTTATCCAAGAATTAGAAGCCTTGATTAAATTCTAACACTTGCTGGATCCAGGGATTAGAAGACACAATCTGAATACCCCAAATTTATAACAATATTTATGTTCTTCTACAAAAGGTACTTGCCCCCACTTTCTAGAACACTGTGGATCCTTTTCTGATTTTGTTGGCATCCATCTGTCTCGAGAAACAATGGAAGTGTGGGCCATCAGGGGTTAAGTCAAAGCAGTGGAGAGTTACAGTACCTGCTGCAGCTGTAGAGACCTGCGGTTATTTCCTCCTGATTCTTATGTAACCAAAAAAATATACAGCCAGCAACACTAGCTGAGCTACTGATGTCAGTAACTCATGTTATGCTGTGCGTTGCTGGTGATTTGTTCAGAAAGGCAAAGACTACTACCTATCTTGAATGTGTAAAACTCCCCAGTGATTCAAGAAGTTTATTGGAAAGAGCAGCTGAATGCCTCCTGGGAAGCACCACAGAGTTTCTGCTGAGCACCCATTCTGCTTGCTTGCTCTGACATAGATTGCTCTGTAGCTGCATTTCTCTAACCTTGTTTTTGATGACAAAAGGCATTTGCATGAAAACAGGGTCTTTGTTTCCTAAGTGCTCATCTGTTCCTGCTGTTTATTTCCCACCTCAAGTCATAATCCTCGGCTTGTGGCATCACAATTGGCTGCTGTGCAAACCATTATGTCGTCACAAACAGAGGATTATGACTTCAGGTGGGGGGGATAAGCAGCAGGAACAGATGAATTCTTTAAAGCAAAGATGCTGTTTCATGTAAATGTTGATGCCAATAAAGAGCAGGGGGAGGGAAAATATGATGGAGAGACAGAAAATAGGCAGGGGGAAACTTGGTAGGAGTTCCTGAACTGTGGCTTCCCTTCAGGCAAAAGCAACTCTTGTAATTCTGCATGGATAATTTTTTTATTTCGCCCTCTCTTTTAGGGTTTCAGAACTTGATCACACCACTGCTTTCTTCTCTTGCTGCTATTATAATAGGAGAGGCCCATATTTCTCATTCTTCATCTTAATGTAAAGAATAATGACCCTCCATTAATGGATTGCAGCAAAATCGAGGTGAAGCCCCTAGGAAACTGCCTTATACTGAGTCAGACCATTGGGACTGGCGGACAGCAGCTCTCCATGACTTTTCTCAGAAGTCCACTTGGTCCTACCTGGGACCAGGGACTGGACCTTGGATGTTCTGCATGCAGAGCAGGTGCTCTGTTGCTAGGCAACAGCCCTTCTTTTGCACACATTGTAATCTTAACTGTGTTCTGTTATATGCTCAGTAAATGGAGGGAAAGCCAGTCCTGTAAACAACTCGTTTATGTAGATACCTTTTGAGATTTGCAAAAGTTTGTGCAAAATCAGATTAAAATGGGTTCAAAGGCTTAACTATGGCACAGAATCAATTCTACTCCACATAAGAAGGTGCTTTACACTGAATTGGACCACTGATCTATCTAGGCTACTGTTGTCTGCATTGAATGGCAGTAGCCCTTTCCCTTCTTCAGGAATGCAGAAAATACAGAGACTTGGTCAAGGCAGAGTATGGTTTTATTAAAGCAACATTGGCTTCTACAGGATGGCCTATGGGAATCTTTCATGGCTTGCCCAACCAGCTCTAGCTGGTTTGAATAGAGAAAGAAAGTCTTAAGGAAAATGTGGGCTGGAGGTTCTCCAGGTTCTGGTTTGTTAACAGTATTAGAAAAAACATGGAGTGGACTTTTAAACACCACACATTGCCTGCCTGCCTGCCTTTCCACTCCAAGTCTACCCAGGCTTACTTCTTAAAGAGGAGAGAGAGGTTTGTAGTTCAAGCCTTCTAGGAAGCCCACACTTTGTAATACCAGATTTGTGTGATGTGGTTTCCGGTGCGGCAATCATTGAAGCAAGCTACCCTGCATATGCTCAAGAGATTTTCTGGCATCAGTTAAATGAGGTGAATGTATCTCTCTCTCTCTCTCCCTCCCTCCCTCCCTCTCTCTCTCTCTCTCTCTCTCTCTCTCTCTCCACCCCTCCCTGCTGCTTACAGGCAGCTCCTATTCTAAATTGCAAGTCTCAAGCTGGCAGCTCTTCACAGAAGGCTCTCTTTTCTGATATTAAAGCCCGCAGTAGGAAATTTGACATCATATATAGATTCCCCCCCCCCCCCAGATTCTCTGCGCCTTCATGCGGTGCCACTTTAGCCCTGGCGACAATAACGGGTTTCGGTAATCAGTGAAGACCAAACAGAGCAGAAATTGAGGTGCTGTCTGGAAAAGGGAGCACGAGAAATCTGAATAACGCAACCTATTGTGTGTTCTTTCCATGAACGTTACAGATCAGTGTGCTTTCATTAAAATTCTCCTTATAAGCTCGGGTGATATGTTGGGGTGAGGGGGTATTTGATGTCTGAGAAGTAGTGAGAAGTTAGCTGCCTAATGATATACTAATTAGGAAGCCCATCCTAGCAGGATCCATGAAAATTGATTTGCACGGTGCCATTTTTGCTAATGAGAGTCATGAATACATGTTTGCAGTCCTTTACTTACCCTTCTTCCCTACAGCTAATGAAGGTGAAGCAATCATTAAGAATAGGGCTATAATCTATCTAGAGTTTCTGCAGCCTCATAGGAACGGGTGGACTTTAAGAAGTTCTGTTTTAAATAATGCTCTTTGTGAAAGAGTGAGTTCCGCAGGTAGCATGGATGTACCATACATGCCATTATTAAAATTCCTTCACTGGTGGTTCTTTTCACTGTATCAGTAGCCGGGGACAGGCTGTCTGTCATGTGTATCTGATTTCATACAGGATTTTAATTAAAGTGGAAAATCTAAATTGTTTTAGTGTAATAGGTTGACCTTTCCGATGTGGGTATGGGGGGTTTACGAACAAATGTCAGTGTACTCAGTTATTTCCCACAATTCCACTTTGTGTAAATAGCTCACCGAAAGAAAGACACAGCATGCTTAACCTTATTAGTCCAGCAAAGATCACCCAAAAATACATGCAAACTTCAGAATAGGTGCAAAAAAGAAAGAGAAAAGAAATGGTTGAGATTTCCATAAGACTGCTTACTGACAGTTGGAGGGGAGCAATTGTGGTTCGGTGTAGCTGCAGCAGTGCTGGGCAGTCTTCTGGCTTTGGCATGGCTGAGACAGGATGCTACTTCCCTTTCCACCAGCAGTTGCAGTTGCAGCCAATCACAGGTGAACTAGTGGACACCGTTTGGGGAGTGGACCAGAGCCATGAGCTCAATTGTCACAAGCCCCATGGGGACATCCTGGCTGGATTGGTCAGAGGGGGTGTGGCATGAGTGTCAGCAGTGTTTGCTAGGCTGCATCCTCAGCCCGCTGCTGGTGGACATCCCAGCAGAGGAGGGAAAGCCAACAGAACCAGCCTCCTGAGAATGAGGTTGCTCTGGCAACTAAGGAGGCACATGAGCTTAAGCCAGAGAGTGAGCTGGCTGGGCAGAGTCAGGCCCTGTTTCCAAGGATGCTTCACTGGATGCACTAGTGCAAGCAGACTCAACCTACCCACAAGAGTGTTTGCTTGCTCAGTACAATCTCTTTTTTATAATATTTTTTATTAAATTTTATGTTTTACAATTTCAAATAAACATTTTAAACTTTAAAATATCCAGTGACTTCCCTTCTTCTCTTTCCATGGTTCATTTTACATATCATACATCCCTGCATATTTTGCCATAACCATTTAAATCAATTTTCCACTTTTGCATCTTCCTCTGTTGAATTTATCTTAAAGCTGCCAGCGTTTTCAGCTGTATACAGTTATTTTCCATGTAGTCAAAAAATGTTTTCCAATCTTCTTTAAATGTATGTTCTTCTTGCTCTCTTATTCTATATGTTAAATCTGCAAGTTGTGCATATTCTGTCAACTTAAGTTGCCAATCCTCTTTTGTTGGGACCTCGCTCACTTTCTCTTTTGGGGCTAACAAAAGATGGGTTGCAGTTGTTGCATACATAAATAACCTTTTCTGACACCTGGGAGTTTCAGTCTGGGTTATGCCCAACAAAAAAGACTCTGTTTTTGGTGGGGGAAAGTAATTTTAAACATTTTTTTTTCAATTCATAATAATTCATTTCCCAATACACTTTTACCTTTTTACATGTCCACCACATGTGGAAGAATGTTCCCTCCACTTCTTTACACTTCCAACACTTATCTGATTCTGTCTGCTCAGTCCTATCTTTTGCGATGAAAACTGTGCAAATGACTGTGCCTGCCCCACTCTTCAAAAGGAGATCTAAGGGTGTGTGTCAGGTGTTAAGACAACATCTTAGCTTGTTCCTAGCCATGTACCTTGGAGGTCTACTTCTGAACTGTGTAAACTGTAATTTGAGCTATATTTAAACCATGTACTGACTTGTAGAATACAGCCTTCCGGAAGACTTGAACCAAAAGTCTGAGTACAGTTCTGAGAGTGGGAGGCAGGACTCCCATAGAGCTGCTATGCAAAACTGATCTCAGCTCTCCAGCTAGGTTCCTCTGTAGAGTGAGCTTCTAGTTCATAGAATATAGAACCTGTTCCATTTCTTATGGCAATTTTGGAAACTTTCTTCTGCGTGATATCAAATCAATAGAAAACCTAGTTCATGCTCCGATGAACCCCGACAAAAGAAAGGGAATTCATTCCAACTCCATTTTCTTGATGTATCTTCAATAGTAAAGTGCGTTTACTCCATGACTTCCTGTACAAAAGCAATCTGTTTAATGTCTATGCAGAATGGGAGGTCAGTTGTTAGCTCTCCCCCTCTGGAGTCTTATAGGAATCTAACAAAGAAAATTGTTTTTAAAACCTACTCTCTTCTCCGCTTTCATATGTTCACTAGAACGTCTGCAAGAAGTAGGGGAGAGGGGAATCCGCCTTAAGCATTTAAGGTACTTACAACAGTGTAATCCAGCAGTCTCTTTCAGAAGCCATACTCATGACATTTAAATCCCATGACTGCACCCTGAACATTTAACTAACTGCTTCCCTCTGTTTGAACGACTTCTTGGAACTCTGACAAAGTGCAAAGGTGCCTTTTAAAAAGAAATATTAATTTGCAAATGTCGCTACCAGATTGATAGGAAGTGAGAGCCCAAAAATGGTGTCTGACTATTTCAAGCCTTGTTTTCTGTGATATTATTTGACTTTCTGATTCCCTAGTTCTTCTGCTTGACATCCTTTCTTATCTCTCCCTTGCTTCAGCACCTAAGATTTCATCCCCAACTTTGATTCTGTATAGTGAAATTACCAGACTTTGTGATGGACTGCTTTATAATAGGAATTGGGCGCATTAATCTTGTAAATACTGTAAGTAGTTTGCTAATATTCCAAAGTGAGGCAGTAGTTCTTCTCTAACTAAGATTGTGATCTGAGCCAAAGAAGAACTCAATTTACCTGGTTCTGGTTCCAGCAGGGAGGGGAGGTCCCTACCTTCTCTTATGCTTCAAATGCTGTTGTGACAGCTTCCTGGTTATCACATCTGGCAACTGGAAGCTACCATAGCAATGTTTCAAGTTCCAGAAAGGAGTCACCAAAGCTGTTGCAACAGTGACCAGGTCCAAACGTTTGGGGACTCCAGATTATGTTATCAGGAGCATGACAGGGTTTGAATCAGACTCTGACTTAACTAAG